TTTGTCAGCAATCTGGGACTGATGTACGATGCGCTCACAGAGCTCAGCGACCTCTCTCGGCAACTCCAAAAAAGAGAGATGACACTGCCTACAGCAGATAGGCTCTTAACTCGAGAAATACGAGTTTTTGAATCCATGGTCACCATGCCTGGCCCACACATGACTACAGTTCATACAGCTCTAGCTGAGAAGTCCTTCAAGGGTGTTGCCCTGGGTGAGAATGGCAGGCTTGTACAGATTCATGCAGGTCAGTTTTTCCGCAGTATGGTAGAGAATCTGAGACACAGAATGACTTCCACAACCTCCTCTCATGTCAGCACAAGAGAAATCCCATTACATGGCCGGGAGGCCCGGGACAATCAGCTAATCCAGGACATGAAAGTTATCCATCCTGGAAGTTGGCCTGAAGAGGAGTTAGACGTACAGTATGGGGACGTAGAGGTGCTACGTTTGTGCGAAGTGCTGAAAGTGGACAGAAGAGAGACTGTTCAGGGCTTTCGCGAATACAAGGAAACCAGGGCATCCCGTACACCTGCTGCCATGGAGCCTCTACTGAAAGCAGTCCGAACCATCGCTGTCTCCACTAGTGAGTGTGAGCGGGCATTCAGCTGCATGAACGATATCCTTACTGCAAAAAGGAATGCTCTCTCTGTCAGCCGACTGTCCAGCCTGGTTTTCATTAAATGTAATGGACCATCACTAGGACAGTTCAATCCGGAACAGTATGTGAGGTCCTGGCTGGCAAAGGGAAGGAGAAGTGCTGATGAAAGAGCCTGTCCAGCTCCAGCCCCTGATACTGATGTCCCCAAGGCCTTCTGGAGCCTTTTCTAACAATGTGAAGTATATTGCAAAGCAGCTCACCCAGTGAGAAGACTTTTGGCATAATGTGCCGATTTGTACAGATCCTGGAGATAGAAGGACTTCAGACCAACCAGGGAGTTATCTGATCAGCTTGGTGTTCAATGTAACTCTTTACCATGGCTCAGACTTTGTTTCTTGCAGTTACAGTTTCTCATTTTAGATTGTGCAAATGTTGCATTTGTTTTTACATGTTCTTTGTTCATGCTCTTTATCATTTTTCTGAGTTGGAAAGTTAGATTGCATCATAGTTTACTTTATACATATTTGTATTCTTCAGTGGTGAAGTATATTGCAAAGCAGCTCAGCCATGTGAGAAGACTTTTGGCACTTTTTCGTTTTCTGAGTTGGAAAGTTAGATTGCATTCAAAATGTACAGAAATACTTAATTTTGTTAAAGCTTTTTATAAAAAATGCTTCTGACCAGAGCTTTGTTTCCTTGTCATTAATGTTGAACACCACCAGAGGGGCTCTCACCTGAAAGGTCTCTGCTTCATGTGTCTTCAGCAGAAGATCTAGACTTTGATTGCTATATTTTCAGTTAATATTGACCTTACTGAGCTTTAGCCATATCCGCTGCCTATCATAAAAAATGTTAAGTACAGTGAACCTTTCTAAAATATACAGTAGTAAAGAGACAAACCCACCAGCATTATAGTAGCCAAATTCTTGTTTGTGGGCTGTATATATAAAATTGACTTGAAAAAGTTGCTGATTTTAGAGTACTGGCACCTTTTTCATTCCAATTCAAGCACTGATCAGAGCCCATTGCAGGAGACGCTGATTGTGCTTGGACACGCTGGGGCAGAATATAAAGGGGTCATAACAGGTAAACACCACAATTGGCCAAAGGCTGGGTCCAACATGAATCTTAACATGTTGTAGAGCTAACACCAACACCAGGATTCGATAAACTAGCTGACGCTCTCAGGCTACCGGGAGTGTCGAGAAGTCTAGAGGCTTGTCTGAGCCGGCTTGTCTGAGCCGGCGTGTTGCGCCGGTCTCGCGACATCCTCACGAGGAGGAGGGGGAGCCACAATTTCTGGCTTCTCGTCGGACACAGCTTCATCTGAAAGCACAGGCATAATCACAGGCTCAGATAATGAGACATCAGGAACACTTTTACTCGCCTGTGCACGGGTATGGGTGATCAGGCCAATACCGTTTTGCGGGGACATATTCTGCCGCTGCTCTTTACGCTTCAGCGCTGCACAGTTGGCGATGACATGTCCAGGTTGGTGACAGTAAAAGCACTCTCTCTCCTCTCTTGTTACATTAGACACATTCAACGGCTCGGTAGGTGGTGCGGCTGATACACAGCGCGATCTCTCAGTAGAGACCGGGGAAAACACAGATTTATGCGTCAGCACATACTCATCGGCTAACATAGCAGCAGCGGAGAGAGAGTTTACCTTTTGTTTATTTACGTACTCAGCAATGCGGTCAGGCAAACATTTCTTGAATTCCTCCAACATAATCAATTCCCTCAGAGAAGAATCATCAGTAGCTTTACATGAGGCAATCCACTTAGCAAACCACATCCATTTTACTCTGGCCAACTCCACATGAGTTTGGTGAGGACCCTTCCTAAGGTGTCTAAACTCTTGCCGGTAAGCTTCAGGAACTAACTCATACACTCTGAGAATGGCAACCTTCACTGAGTCATACTGCAGGCTGTCCTCTAACGTGAGAGCCGCAACTGCTTCCTGAGCTTTTCCATGTAGTTTACACGTTACCATCAGAGCCCAAACTTCAGCCGGCCACCGCAACGCTGTAGCAATGCGCTCGAAGGCACCAAAATAGGCATCCACCTCAGTCTCACGGAAGGTTGGCACTAACGAAATGTTTCTACTCACATCAAAGGCAGGTGGAGGAGGTGGATGGGAATGAACTGGAGAGCTTTCTCCGACACAGCCAAAAGCACCGGATGCACGCAGCTCGGAGTCTAGCTCCAGCTGACGTATCCGGACTTCCTTGTCTGCCTCAATTTCTAATTTCCGCACCTCTAGCTGGAACTGTGTCTGCCTGCTCCGCTCTTTATCCGCCGCCTCCAGCTGGAGACGGGCGAGACGGACCTTCAGTTTACTCCCTTCCCGAGAGTCTGAGCTGCCAGGAGACGGTGGATTGTAACGAGGCGGCGTGGACGGTGCTTCAAACTGCCCAGCGCCCTCGCCATCACCACCTTCTCCTTTAGCCAGGACATTAGGCACAGTGAGCTCAGCTTGTGCAGACAGCACCAGAAAACCCCTTTACACCAACTCATCCACCACCAAAGCCTTTAATTCTTTTTTTACCATTTGCTTATTCACTGCGAGACTGAAATGTTGCGCTATCTCATATAAGTCGTCTCTACGACACTGAAGTAACTGCTCATGAGAAGGACTGACCAAAAACGACTCCAAATCAAAAGTTGCCATACTCAGCTAAAACTGCACACCTTACCAATTTGTTTTTAGCTATAAAAAACCCACTTATAACCCCAGGAATGAGCTATTAATCCCGGACGAGCCCCCATGCATATTACGTCCCGACTAGGGGAAGAGGAAAGCAACATACACCAGATTGGAATTGGTAATAATTATAAATGGTTTTATTATAAAGCAAGGTGAAACAAAATGGCATGCAGGCAGCCTGAAACAACAAAAGGGCCAAAAGGGCACCGGTTGACAAATAACCGAACAAAAGGAGGACTCAAAATGAGTCTAAAGGCATACAGAAGAAATAAATACTAATATAGAGAACGAAACAAAACCTCACTCTAAAAGTGGTACAACTAAATAAAGGAAGCTGTAAGAAAACACAGCTAAATAAGGTACCTGAACACTAGTGATGTTATGTATTGCGCCGAGGCTTCGGAGCGTGTGTCGAGTAATCCCCGAAGCTTTTTGTGAAGCATGTATCGAGGCTTGTATCGTTTTGGGCCAGTGACGTCATCGATGACAAACGAAGCCTCGCTGCCTGTCGATACCACGTGACTGCTTCACGAAGCCATTCAGATCGGTTGAACCGTTGAACCACAACGCTCATAATACCCATGGATGTATAATAAGAACGATATTACCCCTCCTGTACCCGGGCCCGCTGGTGACACGATGGAATTAAAAGAGCTCAAAACCTCACCTATATAGAGGTCGGAACATGTCATAAGTATAAATAGATACAAGCATAAATAAATGTAGTAAAAAAAACATGAATGAATAAATACAGGAATACATATGTTACAGTATTTTCAGGGAGATTCAGCGTGTGTGCTGTGGCTCAGCTGGAAAGCAGTTGACTCACGACCGCAGGGTCCCTGGTTCAATGACTCGTCAATACGTCTTTTTTGTTGTTTATAAAAGCTACAGCTAAATGAGATAATGTAGTTAATAAATGTATTCTTTGATATGGTTTAGCCTTTCTCAGGCTACAACATGGTTACGTTTATGAATATTAGTAAGGAATACAAATCCCTCTTTGCAATGTTTACCAGCCTCCTTAGGCTTTTCAATCACAATCATTCAACTGGAATAAAAACAATATTGTTAACATGAAAATATGATTTAATGTTCGTTGTTTAGAGTTATTCTAAGGCTTTACTCATTGGGAACTCGGTATGAGATAGAGCACACTGTTGAGATGTCCAATCTGCCTGTTTTACACACTTTGACCAGCAGGGGGGTTTGTGTTCAAATGAAGCCCATGATGAAGCCTCATGAGATGAACCCTTTTGCGAACCAATTGGCTGGAAAGCTTCAAAGCTTCATAAGGCTTCATCTCGCCATCACTACTGAACACTCTACTCTAAACACATATATCAACACGACACTAAGCACATACGAGTTAACCCCTGTTAACAGAATTGATCACAATCAATAAGACCACACAAGTTAAACACAGAACGACGAGCAAATAGCGAGAGGCGTCTGTTCCTCAACAGAGCCTCCAGAGTGAAGATAGTCTGCGGCCTTTGTACTCCTCCCCAGCAGGTGTGCGCCGGCTGTGCGCTGCGATTGGATGACGTCAATCCAATCACCATCTTCAGAGGCGGACCAGAGGATGGGCAGCCAATGATGTTGGAGCAACCACACAGCTCATTTACAAATTAGCAAATAGCGAGAGGCGTCTGTTCCGTAAAAGCTACACACTCTCTTTGACTGAGCCGAGGGGCCTTGACAGCATCACACTGAGTATAGACGGAGCAATACTGAATCATGGAGAGCAACACTCAGAGATCCCCTCTGTCTTCATGGAGGGACTGCTTTGTATTAAAACGGATCCGTATGTTGGCCCCTGTTGGTTTCAAGACAGAAATAAAAGAGTTGTGCACGCTGGCCGGACCAGTGGTGAGTAGCCTGTAGATGTAGGCCTACCTACAGTCAATGTCCATGATGATCTATTCTAAATAATGTACTAAATAAAACAATCAAAAGTAACATTAGTTTAATTGGACTATTATTAATTAAATGTGTGTTGTGTAGACAGGCCATGTTAACATTGAACAAATAGGCTCATATCTTATTATTATACTGTGTGATCAGGGGCGGACTGGCCATTCGGAATACCGGGAGTTTTCCCGGTGGGCCGGTAGCCGAGTACCGAAGTGGGCCGGTCGGACATTTCACTAGCACAGGGGTTCCCAGGTGTTACTGCAGGGCCGTGAAATAGCTGTGAGTTTATCGTAATATTTGCACAATTATAAATATATAAAAATATTTTATCATAATATTTTTTTCAAAAAGTGTTTAATGTTCGCACCGATACCAGTCATATTATTTCATCCAGTAACCTAGTTAATCTTTCATCAGATAACCGTTGAAAATGGCTTTTATGATGTTCCGAGGGATTCGGCGGCTCAGCCTCGTCTCAGCCTCTTGTGCGCACGAGAAAGTTACCGGTGCGCCAAGTAGGAAGAGGAGCGCCCAGGAGACAACCGTTTAATTGCAGACTGTTATGTTTATGTGGGGAAATGGCAGTGCATACATTATTTGAGATATATTTCAAACTCGGACTTCATTTTAAGGACATGTCGGCCAGGGGTGTAGAGCTATATGTTTATTTTATTAGCTTTTCTTTTTAATGACTGATTTTAAATGCAATTTTCTTAATGTCTTTCATTTTTTTGTAAAGCACTTTGAATTGCGTTGAAAAGTGCTATATAAATAAACTTGCCTTGCCTTGCCTTGCCTTTGTTTAAGCACCGGATTGGCAAAACAGGAGAGTAAACCAGTCTGTCTTGATCTTTAAAAACATGTCCGGGACTCTCACGGTATCTGCTGCCCGCAGCTGTTTATAGAAGGACAACCTCCTTCACTTCATGAAATGGCTGCAGGCATCATCAGGAGGCAGCGGGACGTATACTCCGCCTCTGAGAAGTGCAGCACCAGCGTGCCGAGAGCTGTGCCTTTTGACGCACCGCCTTCGCAGTGGCGTTTTTATATGTACAAAAGTGGTGGGGCACAAAAAACTTAGATGTCTATATATAAGCTTCTGCAGTGAGGTTCATGGCTGGTGAGGCTCTGACTCTTCAGGTTTACAAATATTATATTTTGACCTAAATCAAAATATAATATTATTTTCAAAAGCTTTTTTTGTCTGATGCTTCAATTAATTTTAAACAGACAGTTCAACAAAAGGATACCCAAAAAATGTAATTGTATCATTTAAATATTGAATTGTTCTCTCTTAGTAAGATCCCATTTTCAATCAAATTGCAGTCTTACCTTGACATGAAGATGAAGTCCATTTGCCTATCCTTCTGGACAAAAATCTCTATTACTTTTTTGTAAAAGTCCTCCTTATGTTCTTGTAGTTTCAAAAGTCTATCATAAATCTGATCTAATCAATAGATTTATGATTCGAAAATTATAAAAGTAGGGTAGACATGTGGATATTATCCGGCTGAACAAAACGTGCATTTATCTAACAGGTTTGTTTCCCACAGATCTTATTTTGAGCTATTTTCTAAAATTCTATGGAGAAATATCATTGCTTTTTTGTGGAGGGAAGCCATGCGCAGTTTATTTCCGGGTTTTAGGACGCCTCACTGCAGCTCTCTCTCCTCCTCTTCACACACCACACTTTTCGCGGCACACGTACTTACAGCCAATCAGCTCTGAATTATGTGAGATGACGTGTGGTGGGGATGGCAGCACTATGCCCCTATGGTCATTATTTTTTTGCCACACACATTAAATAGGACAATACTCTGAGCATGCGCAGTGTAGTTTTTACAGTCACCATTGACTTAAACAGGGAGAGGGAGGGGCAGGATCGGGTTTTGTCCCACATGGCTCAAAACAGCTCAATAGGCACACACTGTAGACACTGATTAGAATAACACAGACTAAAACAGCAATGTACAGACGAATCAGATGATTAAACATGATCTTAAAATATATTTTATATATTTTTTAATTTATTTTTTGCATTTTTTTGTAATCATTACTTTTAATACTTTCTGCTGACACTAGGTGGGGCTGTGCCCCACCTGCCCCTAATAACCAGTCGCCACTGCGCCTTCGCTGTTATTACCTTCACCAGAACAGCGAGTGACTGCAGGCTGCTACGTGTTAACCACACACACCTCTATACACATCTCTACACACATCAAACTGCCCGATTACTCTCCCTTTTATTAGTTTTATGAAGGAGATGTCCAGTCACCAAGGTGTGTGTGTGTGTGTGTGTGTGTGTGTGTGTGTGTGTAATTGTGTGTGTGTGTGTGTGTGTGTGTGTGTGTGTGTGTGTGTGTGTGTGTGTGTGTGTGTGTGTGTGTGTGTGTGTGTGTGTGTGTGTGTGTGTGTGTGTGTGTGTGTGTGTGTGTGTGTGTGTGTGTGTGTGTGTGTGGTGTGTGTGTGTGTGTGTTGTGTGTGTGTGTGTGTGTGTGTGTGTGTGTGTGTGTGTGTGTGTGTGTGTGTGTGTGTGTGTGTGTGTGTGTGTGATGTGTGTGTGTGTGTGTGTGTGTGTGTGTGTGTGGTGTGTGTGTGTGTGTGTGTGTGTGTGTGTGTGTGTGTGTGTGTGTGTGTGTGTGTGTGTGTGTGTGTGTGTGTGTGTGTGTGTGTGTGTGTGTCGACACCGGCATTTGTTTTCAAATGACCATGAACAGTAATTTACACACATCTGGCCAACTCCATAGGTAGCCTATATAAGGGTGTTCCCAAAATAAATTAGTTTAATCTTAATCTCGATGTAGTGCTAAATGCTGTCGGACGTGCACCGGAACGAACGTCACTATCATAATATCTTCTGAAAACAAATGCCAGTGTCACACACACACACACACACACACACACACACACACACACACACACACACACACACACACACACACACACACACACACACACACACACCCACGCCTCCTTCATAATGCGCCTTCTCCTCGTTTTCCCATCACTAGATTATCCGTAAATCATACAAACAAAACCAAAACGTTGATTTATCTGTTTTCCCGTTTTGGTTTAAAAACTGAATAACGTCGGTTTTTTGGTTTTCCGTTTTTCGGAAAAAACAAAAAACGACACCGGTTCTTTTTTAAACGTTGTTAATATGTTTTGGATTGTTCTATTTGTTCAGGCTGTTACATACAATTAGCCTCTGTTGCTACCTGCTGGTGAGTAAATATTAAAATCAGTTAAAATTGACAACCGGTCCGCAATTTTCTTTTTAATGTATCTGCCGGTACTTGGCACAATAAAGGTTGGGAACCCCTGCACTAGCACACTTTGAGCCGTCAGCACTACTGACAGTTAAGAAGTAGACAGAAGAACAAATACTTTATTAATGCCACAAAGGGAAATTCAATCTGTCAATATAATATATTGACAGATTGAATTTCCCTTTGTAATATTATTACAAATGTACACATACAAACTGAAAGTAGTTCCAAGTTGTGTAATTAAGTGCAAGTCTATTGTAACATTGACTAAAAGACCTGTCCAGGGTTTCACTGATATTCATTTTATCAGCACTGCTGGAAAATGTCACACGATCATTTATGTCCTCTGCTCTGGTGTTTTGAGTGGTGTTGCCCTACACACCCACTATACGAAATGGAAATATGATGTCTTCAACAGCAAGTCTGACATTGTTTGAGGATACCAGCAAACACCACATATAACACTGCTCACACGTACCACAACACAGGGAATACGATTTAAAAAGAGTTAGCTTCTTTACAGTAGCTAACTCTGAGGATGCCCTATAGTCACAGTCCACCTGTTGAAGACCCATGGACTAAATAATAGGCTCGATGGTAAAATGTAGTAAAACATTTATTTAAAAAGGCCCAAAATAGTTTGCAGGCAAAAAGGTAATTCAACTTACTCAAGTTGAAGGTAGCTGAAACACTCCCCAACAGTGTAAACTACTACACTGAGTATGTGTTTGTTGTCTTAGTTACTTTTGATTAATTTTTATTTTTCTCAACAGGTCTTGTCCCATCTTATGGCTTATACATTGGGTTTTGTAAGTGCTATTTTCTGTGGCCATCTGGGTACGGTGGAGCTGGCAGGGGTGTCTTTGGCTACATCAGTAAGTACAGTACAGTAATGTTCTTCCAGTGAAAGGTGAACCAATAAATACAACTGAAATCATCCACTAATGTTTTGGTTAAATCCTCAGGTTATTAATGTTATAGGTATATCTGTTGGAAGCGGTTTGGCTTCAGCATGTGATACTTTGATTTCTCAGGTATGAGCTTTAGCCTGACATATAATATTTTTCATCAGGTGTGATAAGTATCGACTGAAAAATTAAAATACTTTCTGTTTTTAGACTTATGGGAGCCAAAACTTTCTGAAGATTGGGGTCATTCTTCAGAGGGCAATCCTCATTTTGTTACTGGCTTGTTTCCCATGTTGGGCAATTCTCATCAACACAGAGGCCCTTCTTTTGGCTGTCAAACAAGAGCCAGAGGTAGCCAGGTAAGCTATGAACTGCTTTAGTTTGTTGTTTTATTCTTCTTGTTCTTTATTTATTGTAAGAAAAGAGTATACATTGGAGGAAATACGTTTTTGATGCCCTGCAGATTTTGTTAGTTTGCCCACTTACAAAGACATTAACAGTCTATAATGTTATAGTTTTCTTTTACTAATGAGAGAGAGAATATAAAAAAGAAAATCCAGAAATTGACATTATATAAAAGATACAAATTGATTTGCATTTAACTGTGAGAAATAAGTATTTGATCCCCATGCAAAACATGTCTTAGTACTTGGTGTACAGAAACCCTTGTTGGGCAGAGGTCTTGTAGTTAGTCTCCAGGTTTGTGCACATCTCAGGAAGGATTTTGGTCCACTCCTCTCTGAAGATCCTCTCAAAGCTTCAGCTCCCTCCACAGATTTTCTATGGGATTAAGGTCCGGAGACTGGCTAGGCCCCTCCATCACCTAAATGTGCTTCTTCTTTAGATACTCCTGTGTTGCCTTGGCCGTATGTTCAGGTTTATTGTCCTGCTGGAAGACCCATCCATGACCCATTTTCAGTGTCCTGGAGGCTATCAGCCAATATTTTCCCGGTACACGTACATCCTCTCCTCGATGCAGTGAAGTCGTCCTGTCCCCTTAGCAGAGAAACCTCTCCAAAGCATAATGTTTCCACCTCCATGCTTGACAGTGGGGGTGGTGTTCTGGAGGTTATAGTCAGCATCTCTCTTCCGCCTTGCAGGCGCTGCATTATGGTGTAGTGTGTTACCAATAATTTTCTTGGTGACTGTGGTCCCAGCTGCCTTGAGATCATTAACAAGTTCCTCCCGTGTAGTTCTTGGCTGATCCCTCACCTTTCTCATGATCATTGATACCCCATGGGGCGATATATTGTGTCGCCCGACTGAGGGCGATTGATGCTCATTTTGTCTTTCTTCCATTTCCGAATAATCGCACCAACAGTTGTCTCCTTCTCACCAAGCTGCTTTCTGAAGGTCTTGTAGCCCATTCCAGCCTTGTGCAGTCATCAGAGGGTGCGGAGCTCAGGGTCAATCTTGTCCCTGTGGTCTTTAGACAGCTCTTTAGTCTTGCCCATGGTGGAGAGGTTGGAATCTGATTGATTGATTCTGTGGACAGGTCTTTTATACAGGTAACAATTTGATATTAACAGTACATTTTAAAAAGAAACAGGACTTATATAACCGGTCTGTGGGATTCATAATTCTTGTTTGTTGCAAGGGGATCAAATACTTACTTCCCACAGTTAAATACAAATACATCTTTTATATAATGTCAATTTCTGGATTTTCTTTTTGATATTCTCTCTCTCATTAGTCAAATAAACCTACCATTACAATTATAGACTTTTCATTTCTTTGTAAGTGGGTAAACTTACAAAATCAGCAAGCGATGAAATACTTATTTTCTCCACTGTATATTTCAAAGTATATTTAATGTTGATATTGAAGTAAGATTTTTTTCTAGGGTGTCCCAGTTGTATGTGAAGATCTTTTTGCCAGCTCTTCCTGTGAGTATTTCTAACCTCTTAGTATAAACCTATCCTGTCTGCATTCAAAAATAACATTTTTCTATTTATATATATATATATATATATTAGGGTGGTCCTTAAAATTGAAAGTCGTAAAGTCTAAGCTCCAACCCCCAGAATTCATTCTATTAGTCAAGAAAACTCTCCTGGTGAATTCTTTCCTCAATCTGACAACATTTACCCCTCCCTCATCGACCTTGAAGTTTCACCCTGAGGATCCCAGAGAGACGCTTTTTATCTGGGAATAAATATAGTTTATAAGGATTAAAATGAAAATAAAAAATGAAAATGAATAAAATCAATCCTCGAAAACAAGTGCCATTTATTCCCAAAATGTTAGCTTTTAACACACAACAACATCCAGTGTTTTATTGAGATTCAGATACCGTTGAATGCCATCTTTGCAATGAATACAAATAGGAACTTAGTGTGGCATTAAAAGTGCGACAGTGTAAACCATTTTTTCACAAGTGCAGACAAGACAAAACAGTGAATAATGAATAACAACAACATAAGACAAATCAGTGCAATGAGTGGACAAATCAGAGCAATGGAGTTGTATAAATGGTTACCTCATTACACAATTAAATGTATTAAACTATAACAAAAATTTTAAGCAAAATGTCTTTCTACCTCAAATACATTGTCCGACTTAGTGCTCCTGCTCCTGCTCCTGCTGGGCTGCCACACAGCTACTAAACTTCAAGGTTGATGAGGGAGGGGTAAATGCTGTTGGAATTTTAATACAATTCACCAGGAGAGTTTTCTTGACTATGATAACAAATTCCGGTGGTTGGAGCTTAAAATAAATGAATTCGAAAATGTACCTCTCACGAAGGACCACCCTAATATATATACACTGAACAAAAATATAAATGCAACACTTTTGTTTTTGCTCCCATTTTTCATGAGATGAACTCAAAGATCTAAAACATTTTCTATATACACAAAATAACCATTTCTCTCAAATATTGTTCAGAAATCTGAAAAAATCTGTGATAGTGAGCACTTCTCCTTTGCCGAGATAATCCATCCCACCTCACAGGTGTGGCATATCAAGATGCTGATTAGACAGCATGATTATTGCACAGGTGTGCCTTAGGCTGGCCACAATAAAAGGCCACTCTAAAAATGTTCAGTTTTATCACACAGCACAATGCCACAGATGTCGCAAGTTTTGAGGGAGCGTGCAATTGGCATGCTGACAGCAGGAATGTCCACCAGAGCTGTTGCCCGTGAATTGAATGTTCATTTCTCTACCATAAGCCGTCTCCAAAGGCGTTTCAGAGAATTTGGCAGTACATCCAACCGGCCTCACAACCGCAGACCACGTGTAACCACACCAGCCCAGGACCTCCACATCCAGCATGTTCACCTCCAAGATCGTCTGAGACCAGCCACTCGGACAGCTGCTGCAACAATCGGTTTGCATAAACAAATAATTTCTGCACAAACTGTCAGAAACCGTCTCAGGGAAGCTCATCTACATGCTCGTCGTCCTCATCGGGGTCTCGACCTGACTCCGGTTCGTCGTCGTAACCGACTTGAGTGGGCAAATGCTCACATTCGATGGCGTCTGGCACGTTGGAGAGGTGTTCTCTTCACGGATGAATCCCGGTTTTCACTGTTCAGGGCAGATGGCAGACAGTGTGTGTGTGGCGTCGTGTGGGTGAGCGGTTTTCTGATGTCAATCGAGTGGCCATTCATCCACGACCATCACCTCATGTTGCAGCATGATAATGCACGGCCCCATGTTGCAAGGATCTGTACACAATTCCTGGAGGCTGAAAACATCCCAGTTCTTGCATGGCCAGCATACTCACCGGACATGTCACCCATTGAGCATGTTTGGGATGCTCTGGATCGGCGTATACGACAGCGTGTTCCAGTTCCTGCCAATATCCAGCAACTTCGCACAGCCATTGAAGAGGAGTGGACCAACATTCCACAGGCCACAATCAACAACCTGATCAACTCTATGCGAAGGAGATGTGTTGCACTGCGTGAGGCAAATGGTGGTCACACCAGATACTGACTGGTTTTCAGACCCCCCCAGACCCCCCCAATAAAGCAAAACTGCACGTTTCAGAGTGGCCTTTTATTGTGGCCAGCCTAAGGCACACCTGTGCAATAATCATGCTGTCTAATCAGCATATTGATATGCCACACCTGTGAGGTGGGATGGATTATCTCGGCAAAGGAGAAGTGCTCACTATCACAGATTTTTTTTCAGATTTCTGAACAATATTTGAGAGAAATGGTTATTTTGTGTATATAGAAAATGTTTTAGATCTTTGAGTTCATCTCATGAAAAATGGGAGCAAAAACAAAAGTGTTGCATTTATATTTTTGTTCAGTGTTTGTGTGTGTCCAAATATATAATTGAGATATTTCCTTCTTTGTTGTAGGCTACATTCATGTATGCATTACAAACAAGTTATCTGCAAAGCCAGGTAAGTTCATTAGATAACTATCTGATGAGATGAATTAAGAACAGGACAGGCTGATTACATGAAAGAGAAGTCATAAAGCCAAAATGTATCCAAAAAGGATATTAGCTGAAATGCTATTCGTCAGACTTCTATTGCAGTAATACAGAGTTGCACCAGGTTGCAAGTTGATGTGATATTAGAGGTCAGCGTCCGAAATTATGATGAAAATGAGGTCAGGGCATATGAATGTTTATCAGATCTACATTTGGACCACGGTTTTGTTTTGCATTTATTGACTTTGGTAAATCAAATTCACATATTTCCTGTCCAGGTGCTGAGTTCAAAACCTGTAAATTCTGCATCTCAAGGACTCAACAACGCTATAGAATGGTCCCTTTACATTTAAAAGTTACAAATGCTCTTTATCAGGTACAAGGTATCATTTGATAATCATACTTCTGTGATGGGATGATGACTCAGTGTAGGACAACCCTTCTCCTGTAGTAATCTTTGTGTTCTCACTTTGCCAATGTCTAACAAGACTATATGTCATTTATATTATATGTGGCTCTTTTCTCAGAGCATCATATGGCCGCCGGTAATCACAGGTCTTATAGTCAACATTCTCAATGCTGTCATCCAGTATATCTTCATCTTTGTATTACATCTGGGAATAGCGTGAGTATTGCCTATTGACTTGTTTAATAACGCCAATATTGTCAGGGTTATTATGTCATGTCACGTTTCTATGTCTAGGTGTGGATGTTTTTCCGTTCTCCTTGTCATGTTTTCCTCCCTGTATATTGTCTGGTCTCTTTTCCCTGTGTTTTCATGTCTGTCGTTAGTTTCCCTGTTGTGTCTAATTTCCTGATTGTTTTCACCTGTCACTCCTTGTGTGTCTCCTGTGCTCATCAGTGTCAGCCCCGCCCCTGATTGTTCCCACCTGTGTCTAGTTACCCTGTGTTCAAATTACCCTGTCTCCCAGTGTTCAGGGTCAGTTCGTCTGGTCTATTGTCATGGTAAGGTCTATGCTCCTGGTACTCATGAAAGTTTTTTGATTCCTCACTGCGTGAGCGCCTTCATTTTTTGTTCTCTGTTTTTTGTCATCTCGACTAGAGTTTTGGTGGTTACCTTTTTGTTCATTTTGGCCAGTCATGGAAAAATAAAGTATCTTACAATACTTTACCTCTGTCTCCCTGTCTGCAATTGGGTCCAACATCCTAAGTGCCTGAGATCGTAACAGAACAAACTGACCATTATGGACCCAGCAGACTCAGCCCTTTTGATGCTACAGGCCGAACGTCTTGGATACTCTCTGGAGTACATTTTCTTTATACGTGGAAAGGCGCCTCATCTAGACGGGGTCGAGAGGCTGCGTTGAAGGAGGCCCGTCAGGAGGTTGCTCGCAAGCCCTGGCTCTGGAGCTTGTTGCCCGAGTGGCTTAAGGTTTTCTCACGCAGCCCTGAGTGCCAGTCTTCATGTTCTGACCCTTTCTTGGGGTCTGGTCTGGCTTATGGAGGTCCACGGAGCCTTCAGGCGGCTGCTAAGAGGAGGAGTCGCAAAGCCAAGCTAGCAGCCCGAGCCCCAAGAGCCGTGGCTCCTGCCCCAGTACAGGCCCCAGCAGCCATGCCTCCATGCTCCAGTACCGGCCCACGCAGCTTTGCTTCCATACTCCATTACCTGGCTTACACAGCCAGGGTCCAGGCTTCCGCTCCGCGCCCATCAGCCATGGTTCCGGCTCCAGTGCCGGCCCCAGCAGCCATGGTCCCTGCTCCAGAACCGGACCTTACAGCCATGTTTCCGGCTCCAAAATCGGCCCACACAGCCATGATCCAGGCTTCAGCTCCGGACCTTACAGCCATGTTTCCGGCTCCAGAACTGGATCTTACAGCCATATTTCCGGCTCCAGAACCGGCCCATACAGCCATGGTCCCTGCACCAGAACTGGCCCATACAGCCATGGTTCCGGCCCCAGTTCCAGCCATGGTTCCGGCTCAAGTACCGGCCCAGCAGTCATCGTCCCGACTCTGGCTCCTCGTCACCTGTTGACTCATCGGCCGACGCCAGCTCCCCGAGTCCTGTCGGCATACCGGCTGACTCCAGCACCTCGTCTCCTGCTGGCTCTCCAGCCGACGCCAGCTCCCCGTGTCCTGTCGGCGTACCGGCCGACTCCAGCACCTCGTCTCCTGTTGGCTCTCCAGCCGACGCCAGCTCCCCGTGTCCTGTCGGCGTACCGACCGTCTCAAGTCCCCTCTCGAGTCTCCTCTCGAGTTCCCTCTCTAGTCACCTCTCGAGTTCCCTCTCAAGTCTCCTCTCGAGTTCCCTCTCAAGCCCTCTCTCGAGTCCCCTCTCGAGTTCCCTCTCGAGATTCCTCTCAAGTCACCTCTCAAGTCAACTCTCAAGTTTCCTCTCGCGTCCCCTCTCAAGTCACCTCTCGAGTCACCTCTCAAGTCTCCTCTCGAGTCCCCTCTCGAGTCTCCTCTCGAGTCTCCTCTCAAGCCCTCTCTCGAGTTCCCTCTCGAGTCCCCTCTCGAGCCCTCTCTCGAGTCCCCTATCAAGTCCCCTCTCGAGTCCCCTATCGAGTTCCCTCTCAAGTCACCTCTCGAGTCCCCTATCGAGTTCCCCCTCAAGTCACCTCTCGAGTTCCCTCTTAAGTATCCTTTCGAGTTCCCTCTCGAGTCCCTTCTCAAGTCTCCGTTCAAGTTCCCTCTCGAGATCCCTCCCGAGATCCCTCTCAAGTCACCTCTCAAGTCAACTCTCAAGACACCTCTCGAGTTCCCTCTCAAGCCCTCTCTCGAGTCTCCTCTCGAGTCCCTTCTCAAGTCTCCTCTCGAGTCTCCGTTCAAGTTTCCTCTCAAGTCAACTCTCAAGTTTCCTCTCGAGTTCCCTCTCAAGCCCTCTCTCGAGTTCCCACTCGAGTCCCTACTCAAGTGCCGTTGGAGGTTCCGCTGGGGGTCCTGCCAACCCTATGTCCTGTGCCGTTGGAGGTTCAGCTGGGATTCCTGCCAGCTCCATGTCCTGTCCCGTTGGGGGTCCCGCTGACTACTCTCCTGCCGGGGGTCCTGCCAACCCTGTGTCCTGTCCCGTTGGGGGTCCCGCAGACTCCTCTTCTGCCGGGGGCCCTGCCAACTCCATGCCTTGTCCCGTTGGAGGTCCCGCAGACTACTCTTCTGCCGGGGGTCCTGCCAATCCCATGTCCTGATCCGTTGGAGGTCCCGCAGACTACTCTTCTGCCGGGGGTCCTGCCAACTCCATGTCTTGTCCCGTTGGAGGTCCCGCAGACTGCTCTTCTGCCGGGGGTCCTGCCAACCCCATGTCCTGTGCCGTTGGAGGTCCCGCAGTCTACTCTTCTGCCGGGGGTCCTGCCAACCCCATGTCCTGAAACGTTGGAGGTCCCGGAGACTACTCTTCTGCCGGGGGTCCTGCCAACTCCATGTCTTGTCCCGTTGGAGGTCCCGCAGACTGCTCTTCTGCCGGGGGTCCTGCCAACCCCATGTCCTGTGCCGTTGGAGGTCCCGCAGACTACTTTTCTGCCGGGGGTCCTGCCAACCCTATGTCCCGTGCCGTTGGAGGTTCCGCTGACTGCTCTCCTGCCGGGGGTCCTGCCGGCCCTGTGTCCTCTTCCGTGGGGGATCTTGCCGACACCGGCTCCTGCCCGGCCTCCGGAGCTGTCCGGTCTTTGCCCTCGAGCCCGGTCCCCTGAGTTCGCCCGCTGTGGTCTTCACCCCTCCTCGAACTCTGTCTTGCCCCCGGGCCGTCCGCCCGAGACCCCCTTTTTGAACTCTGCCTTGCCCCCGGGCCGTCCGCCCGAGACCCCCTCCTCAAACTCTGCCTTGCCCCCGGGCCGTCCGCCCGAGTTCCCCTTTTTGAACTCTGCCTTGCCCCCGGGCCGTCCGCCCGAGACCCCCTCCATGGTCTCTGCCTTGCCCCCGGGCCGTCCGCCCGAGACCCCCTCCTCAAACTCTGCCTTGCCCCCGGGCCGTCCGCCCGAGTTCCCCTTTTTGAACTCTGCCTTGCCCCCGGGCCGTCCGCCCGAGACCCCTTCCTGGTCCTCTGCCGTGCCCTGGGCTGTCAGTCAAGGCCCGTCCTCCATCGTTAGTTTCCCTGGTGTGTCTAATTTCCTGATTGTTTTCACCTGTCACTCCTTGTGTGTCTCCTGTGCTCATCAGTGTCAGCCCCGCCCCTGATTGTTCCCACCTGTGTCTAGTTACCCTGTGTTTAAATTCCCCTGTCTCCCAGTGTTCAGGGTCAGTTCGTCTGGTCTATTGTCATGGTAAGGTCTATGCTCCTGGTACTCATGAAAGGTTTTTGATTCCTCACTGCGTGAGCGCCTTCATTTTTTGTTCTCTGTTTTTTGTCATCTCGACTAGAGTTTTGGTGGTTACCTTTTTGTTCATTTTTGCCAGTCATGGAAAAATAAAGTATCTTACAATACTTTACCTCTGTCTCCCTGTCTGCAATTGGGTCTAACATCCTAAGTGCCTGAGATCGTAACAAATATTGCTTTTTTTTCTCCCACAAAACCAATATTTTGCTATGAAATACTCTTTACAGTGGTTCTGCTGCTGCCAACACCATATCCCAATACTGCATGGCTACAACTCTGTTTGCTTATATCATTTGGAAAGGTCTTCATAAGCCCACCTGGGGAGGTGAGTAACACATAGACTGAAAGGGTTTGGCAAGAGTGCGGACCCAAATGCAGAACAAACAGGGGAGGCAGATATACTGTAAGGACAGGAACAAAAAGCTACATTTATTAAATGAAAGCTGTACTTACAAAAAAATGGCAGGAGCAGGCGAGGTGGAACAAAAAGAAAAGAAAGAAAGAACTAAACGGGAACACTCGGGAGACACGGGAGGGCAGACCAGGGAAATCCAGAAAATGACATCAAAACCAAACCACACGAAAAACGACGATGAACTGACAAGGAACACAAGGGAAAGCAAGACTAAATACACAAGACAAGACACAGCTGGAGAGGGCAAGTGAAACTCAGGGGCAACAGATGAACACAATCAGGTGAACACAATCAGACAATCAAACAGGGGGGAAAACACAGAGACAGGAAGCAAATACAGACATGAGAGAGGAGGCGAACACCTTTCAAAGTCAAACAGGAAACTGACAGACTGTGACTACTCAAAAATAAAACAGAAAATAAACCGATCAGGACATATAAGAGGCCCAGCATATCATTAGCAGATGCTAATGAATCATTCCAGGGTTGAAGAAATCTCAAAGTGGTAGGATTGTAGCTCAGAAGAAACAAAGTGTTTAGATTATACATAGTTTGGAAATAATAATGATTATTGCATTTCTTATTTGACTGTTACAAAATATGGAAAGCAAACATCGAATTATGATAGAAGTCCTACTATATTAAGAGACAGATTCAACGCTGTATGTGTAATATGTTGTTTCAGAAGCATCTTGTGACAGTTATTGATATATTGTAAAATAAAAGAACGTCAATAAAGTGAAGGATAGTGTGGTTACGTTCTTTAATTTATGAAGAAAAGTATCAATTTCCCCATATTTTGTCCTACAAAGCAATATAAAGTGCATTCAGACTTCTCTCTGTTTTATTTAATATTTCAGCCTTTCTGCATACTGCAAAGGAACCCTTTACTGTGTATTGCTGTTTTTTCCTAATTATATATTTGCTTTTACATTTTTTATCGGAAGTTAAGATAATTTATATCATAGTTGATCAGACCGACTCAAAGATGAAATGATTGAGAGATTGAATTATTTATTGATTTGTTATTCTTCCAAACAGGCTGGACCAAAGAGTGCCTGCAGGACTGGGGCTCATACATGTACTTGGCCATCCCCAGCATGGTCATGACGTGTGTTGAGTGGTGGTCGCATGAGATTGGAAGCCTTTTGGCAGGTAATGCTACAGTCCACTTTGTGGTTTAAAGCATTTGTGTGAACTAAAGTTAGTAAGAAATCTAACGGCTGTTTGTCATTAACAGGTCTAATAAGTGAGGTGGAGCTTGGGGCTCAATCAATTGTGTACCAACTGGCAAATATTGCATATATGGTAATCTGTCCTCTAAAAATGACTGAATCTGCATAAACGGTTATGGTGTCAAATGAATGACCAATTTTTACACGCAGTGTCACAGCATTTTAACGTAGTATTTTTGTTATTAGTTCCCTTTGGGTTTCAGTATAGCTGGCAATGTAAGAGTTGGACAAGCGCTGGGAGGCGGAGACACAGAGCAGGCTAAGCTGTCTGCTAAACTGACAATATTCTGTGCAGGTCAGTATGCTCTTCAAAACTATTAATGTGGTTTATAATATCTTATACAAATGTATTTTAAGTCAAGATAATTGTAGAATAATTTATATTTATAACTGTTATTTCACTAAAGAAATACTACAAGGTTGTCTTTGACCTGGAATAGCATGCCTTGAGCCAAAACGTTTTCAAATGGCTAGCTGAGCTAATTATTGTCACAAGATTCTCAGTATATTTACAGAAAATAAACATTCTTTAAAATGATGAAACTAAGGTGGAAAATAAGGTGTGTTACTCTTTAACACAGGGTCCATGTCTATATGTTGGTCAATTCTCCTTGTCAGCTTGAAGGGCCAGATGTCATATGTCTTTTCAGATGATGAGTGAGTAAAAAAAACAAAAACCTTTGCAACCACAACCATATTCTTTACTTATGTTAACAAACACAGAGTAAACTTTTGTATGAGGGAGATAATCGGTCTCCTAAATGACCTTTCACTATTACAGTATATCATTTATTCTCTACAAAGAAAACAGTGAACATATTCCTTTAAATATTAACTTGAAGGAAATGTTTTGCTCATTATCACTGTGACTGTGACACCACAACTGAATTGAAAGGTTTAAAATAGTTATTTGTATGTTATCGTACTTTAAATTGTACTTTGCTTGAGTATTTGCATTTATTGCTACTTATGCTTTTACTCTACTACATTTCAGAGGCAAATATTGTACTTTTTACTCTACTAGATGTATTAAACTCTCCTAGCTACTTTGTACAAATGAAAACACATGATACAAGTGTATTTTTTATTTCAAATTGTTTTGTCTAAAATTGGCTCCATTTTGCCAAACTACATTATGAATATGATTTGACATTTATAAGAATCATATTATTCTACAACACTGTAAAAGAGAGCCATTATGTGTACTGAATACATTTACCTTTAAAACACAAAGTACATTTTAATAATAATACTTCCATACTTAATTTCAGGATTTTTACTTGAGTATTTTAAGACGACAGTAAGTAAAGGAACTGAGAACTATTTCCACCACTCCATATTACAGAGAACATTTTTGGATATCTCTTCTTATGAAAGCCAGTATAAAAAAATCATTATTCACCATCTTTAAGAATAAAATGTTAAATCAGGCTATTCATTATAGAAACATATGGTAGAAACCCCTCTTTAAAAATCTTCAGAATACAAGCTTGTTGTATGTACAGCTACTGAAGTAGAGATTTTTGGCTCAGATTCTAGAAATTTTTTTTTTTGAGGAAACTGATGTTAAGGAAATGTCATACATTTGGCAAAATACTATATTAGAATAAGGGTTCAAATTGTATCTAAAATATATTCAACTCCCCCAGTGGATTGAATCCAATCTCATGATGTCATTTTGACCTCCCACACACTGAACAGTTTGAGTCTCACTTCTTTCAGACAAATCCGGCAAAGGGTTACTGATGTTTTGTCTATATATGCTCCATTCATGATCCTAGATGCACTATCAGTAAGTATTACGGAAATGTCATGCAAACAATATCTTATGATAAACCTATAGATTGCCTTTAAAATACCAGGTGCTTTCTTTCCTGTCTCACCATCTATTCATTCTGTGCGCATGGCTAGGCTTCCTTGGGAGGCATTTTAAGAGGAGTAGGTAAACAGAAGATTGGAGCCATTTGTAACATTTTGGGATTTTATGGTGTCGGTTTTCCCATTGGTGTGCCACTGATGTTTGCAGCCAAATTGGGAATCATTGGTAAGATGTACAGCATGTTTGTGAGCCTTCAGCTTTTTGTTGCCACAATGATGCTAACTGGTTCTTTTAAAGTTTTTAAACCGGTGTCTTTTTTTAAGTGTGAGAAATGATTATTCCCTCAGGACTATGGATAGGCCTTGTTACCGGTGTCTTTCTGCTGGTCATATTCCTATCTTCTTATTTGTTAAGAATGAACTGGAATAAAATTACAACAGAGGTAAGGAATTAAGAGTCTTCACATTCAGAGTCTAATAAATCTTCGCATTGTAAAAGGTCTTTATGAATAAACATTCGTACATTGTTTTCTTGCAGGCTCAAATCAGAGCAGGAGTGGTTGGGAGCTCTAGAGACACAAGTAAGACTCCACAAAACACTGTTAGAGTCTCTGTTCTTGAAATGGCTTGAGAAAAATGTTGAAACATGCTCAAAGTGACAGGTGCAGGGGACATCTTCAACAATATACCTAGTATATATACACAGTATTTATATAGTTTAGGTCATTTATCAAAGCTTCATATATGACTTTAACTATTTAACAATTGTTAAATAGAGTCAGCCCTATATAGATAATTAATCTTCAGCAATTAGCTGTGAAATGAAGAATCCCATATATTAAACATGCTGCTGTCATCTCAATAGAAGTCACTGTAATGCAGGGGTGTCCAAACTTTTTTCACCGAGGGCCACACAAATATACGAAGGGCTGGGCCACTCACTAGACTATATTGCCTCATAAGTTCAGTTATAAGTTAGCAAAATCAATCAAATGTAGGTAAATGATGCTTGTGAGTGTTGGCAGCTCATCCCTTACAACAGAAGCCTCAGAGTGATTATAATAAGGATAAATAGGAAGGGTGTATTTCAAGCTTGTTATGTAAATAAGTCACTGGGCTTTTTTCTTATCAACTAAGATATGTTAGAAAATGTTTCAAACTTTAATTGACTGAATGTATTTGAAAAGTGGTCTTATTAACACATGAATACTACTGTGTAATATATGTTTACATTTATATTTAAGAAGTACAATATAAGACGAGCACAAGTTTCATTTGTGGGCCATATTTCATTATACTTTTTTTATTTGCTGAGGGCCGATTCAAAATGGTCCGCAGGCCGCATTTGGCCCCCGCTCCGTAGTTTGGACACCCCTGCTGTAACGTATTAAACTAAGTTAGGAATCAATAAAAACTAGAATCGTTAACGCAAAATAGGAAGAGTTGAACGTAAAACACAAAATGTCAGATGAAATATTTTTCTAAGTTAGAAAGTTTATATATGTTTATATGTTGTATGTCCAGGTCCACAACCAGAGGATCCAGGGGACTCACAGGACAGTGCAGGAACAGACACCGTGGAGCTGGTGGACCGCGAGGCGGGGGGCGCCGCAGTGAGTCCGGGGGAGGAGGAGCTGTCTCTCAGAAGTCTGCTTCTGAGAGACAGCTCCTCCGTCTCTCAGAGGCCTGGTTCTGGCTGTCATGCTAGTCATCCTGGCTGCTAGAATCCTTATTAACCTGCTGATCAATAACTTGGTTACATGATTGTGAGCAAAGTCTATTCCAGTGGTTCTCAACCTGTGGTACGCGGACCACTGGTGGTACGCCAGCTCCCGCTAGTGGTACGTGGTGGAATCTGACATATAAAATTATTTTTTATTTAAATAATAACCTTTATTTAACCAGATGAAAACATTGAGACAAAATCTAATTTACAATGCTGACCTGGCCAAGAAGGCAGCAACGTTACACGTTCTTACACATAACACAGACATATAAAATACAGAGAACACAACTAAGTAACCAAAAAGACACAAAGCAATCACTACATTGTGCACATCTGGGACATTAAGGTACACTACTTGTTACTGCAAGAGCAGCTGGTGGTAATGACCTCAGACAACTTTAATTTAAAACAGGCTATAGGGACAAGTGCCATCAGTTTGAGGCTTGATTGAATAACATTCATTAAAAAATAAATCATACTATCAAAATACTACAACGAATGAAAATAAGCTTGAGATTATTGAAACTGGGGTTCAAATAAGTTCTAATAGGCTATTGTTTTTATATTTAGAAACTAAACAATTTGTTTTTTCTTTTTCTGGCGTTGTTAATGACGACCATACTACCCGCGAACGATTAGCAAACATTGCAAGCAAGCTAAAGAAAGAAGAAAGCTGAATGATGTTGTGAGAGGTGCAGGGGAGAATATTACCAGCGAAAGTGAACAAGTGAATGAGGAGGAGGACAGTCATCAACCGAGCACAAGCGCAGGCTCCGCCAGCAACGCAAAAGTGATATGCACAGTCACAACGCTGTGATGGAGGAGAGAAGTGACTCAGGAAGAAGGCATTTGCTCAAAGAATGGAGAGAAGGCTGTGACCGAGGTCAAAAGCTGAAAAAGCACATACATGTCCTTAATTGTTATTTTTTTTCTTTTCTTTTTTACTTTGCCACCACAGAAATGGCAATAGCAAACATCAGCAGACTGAAGATGAGCTATTAGCCCTTAGGCTTATCTGCTCCTGGAGGCTTCATTGTTATTGTGGAACTGAATTCCCAATAGGACATTTTCTGTTACAATGTAGGTTGTTGCAGGAGGCCTACATTCAAACTTTGGTATAGGAAAGGACATGTAGTTATCATTTGTTGTGTGAGAATAAGTTATTATTTTTGTTCTTTATATTCTCACTTGTAGTGTGTGAGATAGTGTGTGAGAGAGAGAGAGAGTGTGTGAGAGAGAGAGTGTGTGAGAGAGAGAGAGAGAGAGAGTGTGAGAGAGAGTGTGAGAGAGAGAGAGGTGTGAGAGAGAGAGAGAGAGTGTGAGAGAGAGAGAGTGTGAGAGAGAGAGAGAGAGTGTGTGAGAGAGAGAGAGAGAGTGTGTGAGAGAGAGAGTGTGAGAGAGAGAGTGTGAGAGAGAGAGAGTGTGTGAGAGTGTGAGAGAGAGTGTGAGAGAGAGTGAGAGAGAGAGAGAGAGAGCCCTTTGTACATGTAGTTGTGGCTGACAATAAATAACTTTATTATGTATACATTTGCCTCCGAGTCCTGCATGAACTGTGCATATTAACATATTAACGTATTTTAACATTGGTCATATGTGGTGGTACTTGGAGAGACAACTATTTTCTCAGGTGGTACTTGGTGTAAAAAGGTTGAGAACCACTGGTCTATTCTATTCAGCAACTCGAAGTATTCGAGGTAACCCCTAAGGCACTGCTGCACCGTCTGATGCAAATGTTTGTACTGTATCGCACGATGCCAAAGAAGAACATGCAGAAGACAGTCACAGGTGCAGGCGGGCAGAAAGTAATGAATGCAATACATAACTCTTGACTCATTATTTTACTAGATGACCCTTTGCATCTGCTACGGTCTCTAGTGAATCCTCTCACAAACATATTCTGTCAAAGAAATTAAGTCAAACTACAGACATTGCCAAAACATTTGTATTTAATAAATAAAGTTTTGTGGTATTCTTGGAATCAACATTTTATTTGGACTTTTGGAGACACAAGTGCAGATGTAACATAAATATGTAATTATCTATTAATAATTTAATTGCGTAAAGGAAAATATTATTTCATCCATTGCCAAGAATTCATAATATTTTATGACATCGAGTGGGAACAATGATTTAGTGATTAATGATCTTATGGTTATCCTTCTATTGGGACCAGTGCAGTGGAGAACATTTCATCAGGGGTATATGTCGTATTGGTCCAGTCCAAAGTAAAGTTGGACTCTGAATGCAGCATCTCTGGCAAAGGCACCAGGAAGTGCACGCTTGCTCCCACAGCCAGAAGTGAAACTGCCACAAACATAACGGGGCCTCGTCTGAGGATCAGCTGTGTAGTGGAGAGACGTCCACCCTTCAGCTGCTGGACCACATGTCCCCTCTCTGTCTCTGTGTTCCCGTCATGGCAACCGGAGCTCACAGACATGTAGCCGTCTACTGACTTTGGAGAAAGACATTGCCCGTTATTTTACTTGGTTGAGTCATATAGATGGCGAGCAGTGTCAAACTAGCCAAAGATAGCAAATATGTCAATTGATAACAAGAGGAAGCAGGCTTTGAAAATAAATATAGATTAATTGTTGGGTTTGGCACTTTTACTCACTCTCTGGTAATCAGTGTTGTCACCCGCAGTGTCTGACAGGGCATCCGTGCTTAATAAAGTCATGGGAGTGTTTTTCTGTGCTCGCTCCACAGCCTGCAAACAAATACAAACGACAACTTTACATTTCTCAAAATCTTACAATAGGTTTTAAATGCAAAATGTGTAAGTAAGTCCAAATCATGAGACGCTGCTGAACATGCCTCCTCTGTAATTGTCTTCCAGTTGAGCTTGAAGATGACAATGGTGTAGAAGGTGGATAATAAAACGACACAAATGAGTAGTCCCAGCCAAAAACCTGCAAAGAAAAATGTGTCTGTTATGGGAAGAGAAGGTTTCAAGTGAATGTTTTTTTAGTAAGTAAAAGGTCACTTCATGTAATTACCAATTATTCCCATTTTTGCAACAAAGGTCAAAGTAATGCCGATTGGAAGTGCTATGCCGTAGTATCCAAGGAAGTTGGACACAGCAGGAATCTTCTGTTTGCCTGTTCCCAAGAAGATGCCTGTGCACACACTCTAGGATGTAAATAGAAATATCTCAAATTATTATGCAGTCTCTCCATTGGCCGAGATATTGTATTTTCGGGATAGCTCAAATAAATGATATTTGCCTGGTTATGCTCGCACAATGCAAATATAATCTGGTAATATACTATGTATGCCTAACTAACAAAAAATGGTCGACTCACCACAATACCATCAAAGAACTGAAGGAAACAGTAAGCATTCATCAAGTGCGAAACCAGACCTATGATCTTCCTGAAAAAAGGTTTTATAATTAACATCTATTTTTGTTGTTCAATATTTGTATGTAGCAATAGCAGTATAACGATCGTAGTTTTACAGTTATTGAATAGTGAGTGCAGTTCTCACTCATCAGAGGTAAAGATGTAGCCAATCACTGTTTTAGTAGAGCCGAGCACAACACCTTCCACAACTGCGATGCTTGCTGGAAAAGAGGGGCAGTGAAATCTGTCAAATGTAAAATTTTGAAGAAATGAAATACAGATTAGCAACATTTTTTATAACTGACCTGCAAGAGCGAAAGAGATCTTGCTGGTGAGGAGGGCCCTGGCAGTGTCTCCCGCACCAAGGGCATTTCCCACTCGGGCGCATGCTGCAGCTTGAATACCTAGAGGGAACTATGGATTCATTTAAAGAAAAAGTGTTAAAAAGAGTCGGCTCTTTAGAGTCTTTGGAAGTACGCTGACTCAAATTGAACATTCTTTGAGATCAAATATGTTTACAGAAAGTTTAAAAGTAAGAATATAATGCTCTGAGTTGTGGTTAGTACCATATAGGTCAGGGGTCTTCAACAAAAATTCAACGAGGTCCAGTTAGAGAAAATCTCCCCATGCAAAGGTCCGGAACATCAAAATGTCTAATCAACCAATCAATCAATCAATCAATGTTTATTTATATAGCCCAATATCACAAATGTTACATTTGTCTCAGTGGTCTTCACAGTTTGTACAGAATATCAGTATGACAATATGACACCCTCTGTCCTTAGACCCTCACATCGTACAAGGAAAAACTTCCGGAGAAAACCCAGTTTAAAGGGAAAAATGGGAGAAACCTCAGGGAGAGCAACAGAGGAGGGATCCCTCTCCCAGGACGGAAAGACGTGCAATAGATGCTGAGTGTAAATTTAAAAGATAATACATGTCTAACTTGCTTCATGAATTAGTGTGATATATATTGAAGTGTCCTGTAGCTTTATCAACGACTGCATGTAATCAACAACTGACTGCCAATCAAATAAAGAAAGTACAATTCAAAAACAACAATATTTATTGTCAATTAACATTACTTAAATACTGTGGATATGTGTAATGTTCCTCTCGGGCTGCATTTACAAATAAAATAGAGAAAATAAATAAAATAGCGTTTGAAAATATGTGTATCTTAAAAGTGCTTAATTTTAGATAAATATAATAAAGTGTAGCAGCAGCTTGAGTGTCCCTTTTTCTTTGTTAACCGTTTCACATCATGACTTAACAGTTTCAGCCGATTTTAGAACAATATCAGTCTTTACACATCATAACAATTGAACAGTTTTAAAGTTTCTCTTTCTTTCCCTCTTATATTGCAGTCCCTCACTCACTTTTTTTAAAATTCTGTGTGATAATTGAGCTTGAGCTTGTCCTGCCAGGAGTTTGTAAATCTGGGCTGAAATGGAGTCAGGGCTGTATTCTCATACACATGCAGGTGCTCATTGGTTACAGTGATGCAAACACAGGTATGGTGAAAAAAGAGAGAACTATTCGAAGCAGAAAAAAAACAGCTTAATACCATCTGACAAAGGCCTGTGCTATAATGCTTCAATTAACTGCTATTCTTTATAATATACTCAGATCAATAGGAGACAGAGATGTTAAGTTAAAAATCAAGGATTTTTATTATTATTTACAGCAGGGGTGGGGAACCTTTTTCCTTTCAATTTTTACAACATCCTCCGAGGGCCGTACACATTATTGAACTCAACCTCTGCTTAAAAAAACTAAAATCACAGCCCATTAATTTCGCCTTTCTTTCATGCTGTGCAAAGAAATAGCAACCTCTTAATCCAGATATCTCACCATGACTCACGTATGCATGCATGTGCACGGTGTGGCATGACCACCAAAACAGAAAGATATGGACACAAGATGTGTGCAAATGTATTTAGTATCCTATCCATGTGAACATGATTTAAGTGGGGGGGGGGGGGGGGGGGACCTAACCTAGGGGGGTCCGGGGGCATGCTTCCCCGGGAAGATTTTTTTTTAAATATTGAAGATAAAAGCATCAATCTAGTACACTTTGAGAGCAACATTAAGAGATCTATGGATACATCTCTCAACACCCATATGAAACAGAACTGTAAGCATATTTTTCTTTTTTGATATTTTACAAATCACTCCCCTTTTAAACTCTATTCTTGTTATTTTTAACAACTTTTTTGTTACTGTCATATAGTATTTTATACCTGTTTTTCATTTAGTCTAATTAATAACTATAATGATCATATCAAGGTGTGCCTTAACCTCACTGAGCTGAGGTTATTTGAGCCTCTCAGGAGAGAGCTCTCTTCCACCTGGTTGTAGAAAAGCTCTTTAAATTCGTTAGCATAGCTAGCTAACCAGATGCTAATAACAACAGATCGCCACTGTGCTTACAACTAAAGACACAGCCACGCAAACACTGCGGCATGTGTACGGCTCCTTATGGGTATTGCAATATTGTAAAGGCTGGAGCGGCGTTCCGGTGCTCAGCACTCCTTTCAGAAGAGACATATACAACGTGAAGACACGTTACGCTCGTGTTGTATTCAAGGAACCTGTCCTTGGCCAGGAAAAACAGGTACTCGCTTGTTTAATTATTTTTGCGGTCTAGATTTCTTCTTCTTTTTTGAAGTGAGAAGTTGTCCGTCAGTCGGACTGACAGACGGACTCCCCTCCCCCCCACCCCCAAAACGAAAACTCTTCGGTTCTCCACGAATTACACAAGTCACCCAAATCAGCGTTAAAAAAGCGGGAGGCGCCGAAAAATCCCCAATTAATGTATTGATTATAGCTCCGGGTCCGTATAGGTCGGCGTCTGGGTCCGGATCCGGACCGCGGTCCGCCTGTTGCCGACCCCTGATGTAGGTGATGAAAGCCACCATTATCACAGCATGTTGGGCTGCCAGCTGGTCTTCACCCAGCATTCCTGATTATCAGAGACAAGAATCACGATTTAAGAATGTAATCTAGTTTCATAAAATCAAATGTCTTACTAATATATATTAGTTGTGTTACCTGCAAAGAATCCACCAAACTCATAAAGCCACCACTCAAAGTACTTCATCATTGTACTGGGAACGGCCAGTTTCATGTAGGAGCCCCAGTGCTGCAGCGATTCTACAGACCAGCCTGCAGGGGGAGAGAGACTTAGTTGTGAACAGGGAAAAAACTTGGAAGATCAACAAATTGTTCCATGAGATCGTAAGGTCACCACAACTATCTTCCAAATATAACTGTCCCTCACCTCCCCATGTTTTTACATGGAGCTTCTTCCAGCGAATGTAAGCAAACAGAAATCCACAGATGTAAATCTGAGACAGAGCATTGGCTGCTGCAGATCCGCTGTAAGACATGCACACAGACACGGTGTTATCAGTGTGTTATAGTTGACATCAGATTCAAACTGAAATATGTGAGGACACTTACCCTACACCCAGATCCAGCCAGTATATTAAGATGTAGTTTGTCACCAAGTTTGCTATGTTTGCCAAAGCAGCAGCGTACATTTGTGGTAGTATTATACCCTGAGTACACAAACAGCAGATGATGCAATGAGGAACACTTATTGAATCATATTGAAAAAGATTTACTACGGTTTTATAAACTGAAACATCATACATGGTTTAGAACATAAATGCACCTGGTTCTGCAGGTAAGACACTTGAAGAAGTTGTAGAAACATTACCTACAGAGAAACATGATTAAGTTGTTTCTTATTTATTTGACAGCTTATGGAGCTGAAAAAACTGGAAAATAATGGAAACGTGTGTAATATTCAGCTGAAAGGTTAGAGAAAAGGTAAGACTTACTGGTACTGCATGAAGGAAGCTTGTAATATACACTTGGGCTATTCTGAAATCAAGATATTTTAATTAAAAAACAAACAGGCACTTATCAATCAATGACACTGATCAATATCATTCAATCCATTTGATATCCTGCCACCATTAGGATGATAGTGTTATCCTGTTTCCTTGTGGCCAAAGATAAATAATACAGCTTTAAAGACACATTTTAAAACCTTTAAATATTTTTTGCAATTAAACTGTGATACTTCATACAATTGGTCATTTGGAAAACTGATTCCAGTGAATGGGGGTTTAAACCTTCCCCCACCAATAGCAATAGTATCACTTCATGTTTGGTGCTGTTAGTTACCCGGGCCCTTTCTCATTTCTCTAACTCCCCTCCCCTCCTCGACTCCCATCCTCGACTCCTATCCTCGATACTAGTCCCGCCCACAGGAGATGCGAGCGGAGGAGCCGAGGAGGGGAACCGAGGAGAGAGGAGGGGAAGCAGCAGGCGGTTAGAGAACTCCTCTCCTCTGAGCGGTCATTTTAAAGAGACGTCCATTAATGATGACAGGAGGCACAGCAGCCCTCTGTCTGATGGACAGATGTGTTCATGACGACTTATATATTTACTTTGATTCATTCACAGTGCGGTTTAATGAGACAATAACAGGCTACAGATGCGGACACACACACACACACACACACACACACACACACGTATATTTATTAGGGCTGTCAGTCGATTAAAATATTTAATCGCGATTAATCGCATGATTGTCCATAGTTAATCGCGATTAATCGCAAATTAATCGCACATTTTTGATCTGTTCTAAATGTACCTTAGAGGAATATTTTTCAAGTTTTTAATACTCTTATCAACATATGAGTGGACAAATATGCTTTATGCCAATGTTTATTATCATTTGAACAATGACAAATATTCTCATGAATATTAAACACAACAACCTCTGAACATTACAAATATTCGCCTCAATTCAACCTGGAACCTCTCTCATACAATAATACAATACAAATGGTGTGTGTGTGTGTGTGTGTGTGTGTGTGTGTGTGTGTGTGTGTGTGTGTGTGTGTGTGTGTGTGTGTGTGTGTGTGTGTGTGTGTGTGTGTGTGTGTGTGCGCGCGCAACTCAAGGCATATGCTCGAACGGGAGCTGCCTGGATGCTGCAATCATGTTGCGCGCACTATCTGTGCTGACTTTTCGTACAATGTCCCACTGTCTGGCTTCCTGCATAAAGTCAAGTGCTCGGCGCAGTTGTGGCGAAATGTCGCTCCTCTGTTCTCATTCATAACACTCCGTTCGATGTCTCACTATGGGATGCGCCTCATCGCGGAGCAAACAGAAGCATCAATCTCATTACGCCAATCCTGATTGGCTGGAGATCTTGACGTCAGCGTCAGGGAAATCACCCCCTATAAGTAGCTTGCGCCACAACGCATGCGCCATTCAAACACCTCTTCTCGCTTCAGAGCACATCTCTATGGTAGCCGGACAAGCTTCACGGTCCACAGACTGAACCCAAATATCCATTTCGGTCGACGGGCGCTTGCCGGCTACTCCTTCTGCTTCGCAGGAAGACGGTAATTACTAACGCTAGTTATTGTTGAAATCGACCTCGCCGCTCTCTTTCCCCGGAAAGTAAGCTAGGTCTGACTTTTTCAAGCTAGCGTTAGCTTTCTCCCTCACTACCGACACCACGGTAGCGAGGAAGTCTTTTCTTTTCTCTTCCCCACGGAGGAGGAAAGGATTAAAAGGAGCATACTGCCACACCAGTTAGTATTCTCCGGGAATAAAAGACCCACACCGTCCTTTTCTCCGGATTAAGGACAGGGTGGTTACCTCTTTTTCTCCCAACCTACCTGTTGAGAGCGGGTCCTCTCCACGCCACGAGGCGAACAAGATGGATGCCCCTCTCCCTCACACCAGAGGAGTCAGGGACTCGGTGGCTCGACTCTGCGGCTGCGGGTTGAAGATCTCGGGCACAGACACACACCAGGTCTGCTCGTCCTGCCTCGGGCTGGAACACGCCCGAGGCGCTATCGACAACCCCGGCTCGTGCGGACATTGTGTCCGCTTCACCGTAAAGAGCCTCCGCCGATGGCTAGCACGCCAAGCTAGCCTGTCGGAGCAGGAACCCCACATGTCCTCTGACCTGCCGGCCGGCAGTCAAGACGCGGGGACATCTGCCACAGAGAGTGAACCCCTCTCCATGTTGGTCTGGGGCTCAGTATCTGAGATGGCCGCAGAACCGGATTCCCGCGCCCTGGCAGGCCGGTACCCGGTGGCGGCAAGACACGCGGGAACGGGACCCCACGCTTTACCGAGCTGGGGCTCCCGGTTAGACCTCACCATGGTCTCACCCGCGGAGGGTGTCCTCGAGCTTCACTACGACGAGGACGAAGAGGACGCCTCGGTGTTCCTCCTGTCCGAGTCGGATGAACATGAAGAGGACATCTTCATGTCATCGGCTCAGGCTGCAAAGCCTGGAGCGAGGGCTGCTCTCCCAGACGATAGCACACCAGCTTCGCCCTGTCTGAGTATGGACCTGCAGGCCGTGTGCAAACGCGCTGCGGCCAGACTCGACATCCCGTGGCCTGAAATGGCCAAGGAGACCTCCAGGTCCCGCTACGAAGGGAAACATTTTCCCCAAGCAGCGCGGACAAAGAGGCAACTCCTTCCGGTCTTCCCGGAGATGTTGGATGAGGTGTCGGTCTCGTGGAGAGACCGGCCCTTCAGCAACAAGGTCCCAATCCAGGGTGCCTCCTCCCTAGACTGTGACGGAATGGAGAAGCTCGGCCTGCTCCGCATACCACCCATGGAACAATTGGTAGCAGCCCACCTCCTACCGAGGATGGGCCCGTCACCAAGCAGGAACCCCACGCTGCCGGCAAAGTCGGACCGATTTCAGTCGACAATGACTGAACGGTCCTACAAAGCCGCAGCGTTGTCCGCCAGGGCCCTGAATGTGGCCTCGCTGCTAACCGCTTACCAAGCGGAGCTCTGCGAGGACCTGTCGGGTAACCCGGGGGCAGCCACTCTGGACGAGATGGCAGCGGTCACAGACATCTGTCTCTGTGTCCAACGCTGCGCCGTCCAGGCCACAGGTAAGGCAATGGGGATCATGGTGGTGCAGGAAAGAGCGAGATGGCTCAACCTCACCAACCTCCCAGACCGGGAAAAGGAGGATGTGCTGGATATGCCCATCGTTCCCGAGGGAATTTTCGGCTCCGCTCTTGCTTCCATGCAAAAGAGGTGTGAGTCGAAAAAGAGGGAGGACGAGGCACTCCACCTCTGCCTCCCTCGAAGGGTCCAGCCGCTGCCTTCGCAGCAGCAGTCCTTCGCCCAAGCTGCCTTGAACCCTGCTCGGTTTAAAACACCGAGAACGCAGAGGTCGCAGCCCGCCCCGAGTCCCCAGCCCAGGCTGGAGACGAGGGCGAGCTGGCCCAGAAAATCTCCGGTTCCGGCTGCAGCTCAGGCGCAGCCAACCCAGAATTTCGGCCAGCAGGCGAGGAAGAAGAAGCGAGCGGCGTGACAGCCCCTCCTTCTCCCCTCCGTGACAGAGCTGGAAGTCCACGGTTCCCCAGCTCTAAATGTGTTCCCGCCGCCTCGAGAGATGCCTCAACACCATCCTCAAGTCCGCAAAAACACATGTCACAAATCTGTTTGTTCCTCTGTCATTAAACATTTGCCGCTGACGCATCCAGGCTTCAGGCCGAGGGCGCAGCTCAAAAAAATGATAAGAAAAACAATAAAACCAATAAACAGCCCGTCAACTGTTCCCCTTCTGAGAGCAGCTTCGGCATCTCTCAAAAGGCGGATTACAGGCGGGTCTGTGAAGGCACCACCGTCATGCGCATGCGCAGTGTCGGTGGGGATTGTCGAAAGGGGGCACCACTGTGTTCAGACACTAGAGGGCCCCATAACACAACAAATAGAGACTCAGAGGGGAAGAGATGTGACATCTCCACTGGCTCTAAGGAGCATGCAGTGGAAGATGCTCACATCATCTGCTTGGGTTTTCAAGACAGTAACACGGGGCTACAGACTCCAATTCGCTGTCACCCCCCCTCGCTTCTCGGGCATTCTGCATTTGCAGGCCCGAGGAGAGTCAGCCCATATTCTGGAGAAAGAGATTCTCTCTCTCCTAGAAAAGAGGGCTATATCTATTGTACCCGCCGAGCAGAGTCAGGGCGGCTTCTATTCCAAGTACTTCCTCGTTCCCAAACGGGGAGGGAACGGAATTCGGCCAATACTTGATTTGAGGGCTCTGAACAAATATCTAAGAAGATATAAGTTCAGAATGCTCACTCACACATCTCTGCTGCGGCTCGTGCGACAAGACGACTGGTTCACATCAGTCGACCTGAAAGATGCGTATTTTCACATCCCAGTATATTACCCACACAGGAAATATCTGAGATTCGCATTTCAGGGGATCTGTTATGAATACAGAGTACTCCCCTTCGGTCTGTCTCTCAGTCCAAGGGTGTTTGTACGATGTACGGAAGCCGCGATAGCCCCGTTAAGACAACAGGGTATTCGCCTGGCGACCTACCTGGACGACTGGCTGCTTCTCGCACAGTCGGAGCAGGAGGCTGTTACGCAGACAAATGTCCTCGTAAAGCACCTGCTCAACCTGGGTTTCATAATAAACACAGAGAAGAGCATGTTGTGCCCCGCGCAGACTATACTCTTCCTGGGTTTACACCTGAACTCGGTGCCCTTTTCAGCTCGCTTGTCAGCGGATAGAGTGAAAGCTTTCAGAGCTTGTCTCGCTCTTTTCCGGCTGCGCAAACATGTTCTCTTCAGATCATGCCTGCGATTGCTGGGGCTCATGGCGTCAGCCATCCTGGTCGTACGACTGGGACGCTTACACATGAGGGAGTTT